GGGGGCGGGGCCGGCGCCTGCCTCTGATGCAAAGGCAGCAGCACAGAGTGGCAGGGAGCTCCTTGGGAGCGGGGCTGGAGTGCACTGGCTGCCAGCCTCATGTCCAGGGACTATAGCATAGTCGAGTAACTGATAAGAATTCATGAGGTTACTCGACTATTCAATTAACCGATATTTAACATCCCTAGTAAGGAGCAGTGGTTTGGTATGAGGATCACAGCAGAGTTAGATTAGGCTGTGGAGACATGGAAGTGGGGCACTCTGGAGGGAAGGCATGTGGCGTGTGGAAAGAGTATAAGTGGCTGGTTAGATAAGGGGGGAAGAAAGCCTTTACCTTAGATAAAGTGGTGAAAAAGAGGAGAAATCTGAAAAGAGCTCCAAGGGGAACTCAACTCTAGGGGATCAAAGAAGCGTTACTGAACCTTTTCCCCACAAAGTCAGTGACTCCAGCCCAGCCTCTAGTCAGTAATGACCATGGGTGCAGATTTGTCTTGGCAGTTTTATCAAAAATCACAGAGCAGTCATGATAATGTTAGTAAAAATCATGAGTTTAAGGGGAAATGGCATGTAAAATAATGGGTAGGAATCATGAGTCATGAGGTATGCATCATGGGGGAGTGACAGCCAGGCTGAACCTGAGTAGAGATGTGAAGGTTTAATCAATTAATTGGTAATCCTCACCTTTAATGGATGAGGTTTACCAGTTAAGGTTAACTGTAGGGGGCTGGAGCAGCTCCCCGCCTCCCAAAGACAGGTGGCTGCTTCGACATTCAGGCCAGAATAGCCTCTGTCTACAGTGAGTCTGGGCGCCCCGTAGGCAGGGGTTGCTCTAACCGATGATGGAGCAGTACCTGCTCGTGGTGGGTGGGAGTCCGCTCGCCTACCCTTTAATCGGTTAAATTAAATGGGATTTTCCAGCCCTAAACCTGAGCAGCACCGTGACCTGTTTCCCTGGTTAAAACACCCCAGAGCAGGGAACCAGGCTGAGCTCTGTGGGATAAGAACCGCTGCTGCAGGGTGAGTATGGGGCAGGTTGGCTCTACAGCCCCCCCTATG